TGAGTGGGTGTGGGTGTGTGTGGGGGACAGCTCCCAGTCCGTGAGTGGGTGTGGGTGTGTGTCTGGGACAGCTCCCAGTCTGGGAGTGGGTGTGGGTGTGTGGGGGTGACAGCTCCCAGTCCGTGAGTGGGTGTGGGTGTGTGTGTGTGGGACAGCTCCCAGTCCGTGAGTGTGTGTGTGTGTGTGTGAGCTCCCAGTCTGTGAGTGTGTGTGTGTGTGTGGGGGGGGGACAGCTTCTAGTCCATGAGTGTGTGTGAGTGTGTGTGTGTGTGAGCTCCCAGTCTGTGAGTGTGTATGTGTGTGAGCTCCCAGTCCGTGAGTGTCTGTATGTGTGTGTGGAGTGGACAGCTCCCAGTCCGTGAGTGTGTGTGTGTGTGGGGGGGGGCTCCCAGTCCGTGTGTGTATGTGGGGGGGGGCTCTCAGTCCGTGTGTGTGTTTGGGGGGCTCTCAGTCCGTGTGTGTGTATGTGGGGGGCTCTCAGTCCGTGTGTGTGGTTGGGAGGGGGTCTTCCAGTCCCTGACTGGGGACAGCATGGAGTGTGTACGGGTACTCCTATTCCATGAGGTGGGGGTACTCCCATCTGTATGGGGTGGGGGAGTTGTAGAAGACACTCTGGTCCATGAGTTGGGAGTGCTCCCAGTCTGTTCGTACAGGGGTGTCCCACCACCTTTGCTCCATATGTTCACGGTCCTCCAGGGTGTCCTATAAGCCCCCTGGCTGGGGCCTCACCTTGAAGTCCAGCGGGCTCCCACCTTCCTGGCACAGCCCCTCTCCTAACGCCCTCTTGAACCTCTTCTAAGTGGGTGGGGTGACCTTCAGAAGTGTTTGGGACACACTGGGACCCCACACGGAACCTCCTGACCGTGTTTTCCAAGCACAGCCAGCGTTCCCAAGGACTGTTGCCTGCCTGCCGCTGTCTGGGGAACCCTGTAACATGGCTGCTGACCCACCCGTCCTGGACCTGTCTTAGCTAGGGATGGGGGTACCAGAGGGCCCCCTGACCCAGGCATATAAAGGAGCTGCTGTTCTCCTCAGACTGGCAGACTTGTGCTTTCCTGCACATTGAGTTCCTGGCAGAATGCAGCTGCCAGCCCTTCACTAGGCTATGGGGTGAAGGTTAATTGTCATTCTTGGGTGCCCCAATTTCTCAGGGAGCAAAGCCCCAGCCGGTCGGTTTTCATCCTTCCTCGTTGGAGTCCTGGTGTGAAACTGTAGGGTAAGCACTGGACTGCAATGTTAGTTTGAACCACAGGTTGATGGTTCAAACTCACCAGCCGCTCCTTGGAAACCCTATAAAGTGTTACCCGACTCAAAGGCACTTAGCAACAGCGATCCCTGCTGTCCAGAGGTGGAATTGCATCTGCAGGTGAAGACCTGCACACACACATAACACACACGCGCATGTACACATACACCCGTGTATGGTTAAAGGTTCAGTTCCTTTTGCCAGCCAGGTCCTGAAGAACTGGGTCTGGGGTGAGGGAAGGGGCCCAGCCTCTTCCTCACGGGACTTGGATGGGGATATACGAAACCAGGTACTCACACACTGGACGGATGCAGCCATGCTTCAAGTTCCTGGGGGGTGGGGGGCAGTTGTTTGGGCTGGAAGGTGGGAGGCAGAAGCCATCACCAAGAAGGTCCCAGCGTATTACTTTGAAAATGAAGACCCTCGGGGCTCAGAGAGCGCTTTGAGCCACTTTGGAGTCCGAGTGTGGTACTGTGGTTTGAATTGCAAATGGGAGGTTCAAGCTCACCAGCTGCTCCTCAGAAACCCCATACAGGGTCGCTATGGGTCAGAACCAACTCAATGGCACTTAAGAACAGCAGCAACATTTGAGATTTGGGAGCGCGTTGGCTCCATATGGTAAGCACTGGATTGCCAACCACAAGGTTGGTGGTTCGAGCCCACCAGCTGCTCCTCAGGAGAAAGATGAGACTCTGCTTTCACAAAGATGTACAGCTTCAGAAACCCTATACAGGGTCACTGTCAGAACCCACTCACTGCCACCTACCAACAACTTTGAGATGCAATTCAAGGCCAGATTGTTCACCTGGGGCTGTGAGCTCAGCCTTCTCTGAGACCTGACAAGTCTCCACGAGCGGCCACCACATGTGGGCTCTGCCCTCCGGCTGTGGGACGAGGGTCTAATGCCGCCTAGAGCCAACCACACCCACCAGAGCCTGCCTGAGTCCTGCTCAGTCAACACCAGCCCCCTGCACCCTCCAGAGACCTCACACAGCCCCCCCCAGAGATAGGGTCCCTGTCACTGTGCAGAGAGCCCCTGGTGCTCAGACCAGATTCGTGGAGGGAGGCCTCTCAGGGTGGTGTGACTGGAGGTACCCAGTGTGAGGAGTGGGTCAGCAGTTCTGAGCCATGGTGCGGGCACGCCGGGCACGGAACGGGACTTTTCTACTTGGGTGCCCTTGGTCACTGGCTCTGGGTCACCAGGGAGACGCTAGAGAGCCTCAGGACCAGAAGGCAATTCTCTAAAGAGCCGAGTGTCCAGCTGTGGCTCACACAGGTGACCTGTCTGTCCCACAGGAGAACGACTACCTTCAGGACTGCCTGGATGCTATTCAGCAGGACTTTGTGATCTTTAACCGAGAAAAGTGAGTGTGTGAGGGGCTGCGAGGCCAGGCAGCCACAAGCCTGCTCTCAGGGGAGTCCTGCTGGTGGGTGTGGGCAGCTGTCTAGGCCCTTGTGGGAGAGGCTTGTGGAACCTTTTGATGTCTGGCATTTACGGGGAGACATCAGCGATGGCCTCTGTCAGGGTGAAGGCCTCCTGTCCAAGTAGGTGTCTGTCCATCACCTCTCAACCTATTATCCACTTACCCATCACCCACTCACTGAGCTTCGACGCCTCACCCACTCCCCACCCAGCCCGCACCCACTCAGCAATCCATTAGTGGGGAAGGGGCAATGGGGCAGGGAAGGGCCGCATTGGCCTGCAGGGAGACAAAAGGAAGCCCATCGCCTTGGGGCTTCCTTTGTGGGTGACCAGGAGGGCTTCCTGAAGGAGGGGGCCTGCCTGAGTGCTCTGTCCTGTGAGTGGAAGTGGGTTTGGGGCACCAGCTGGTATCTTGAGGTTCTGACGGGAGGACCACACTCAGCTCGGCTCCCTGAGGGCTGTGTTCAGACTGACCCACAGCACTGGGCCAGCTCCCTTTAGGCTCTGGTGTGGGGCGCACAGATGCTTCCAGTCCGGTGCCCTGACCTCAGCCAGAGGACACTGTGGGTGGCAGGGAGGCACATTGTTTATCTGTCTCCTCATGGGCCCCCAGACATGTTGTGGGGCGCTGCCTAGTGATCTTCATTCTGTACCCCCCAGACTGAAGAGAAGCCAGGACCCCACGGCTGAGCTGTTCCCCACATCTGAGTCCCAGGACGAGGCTGAGCCACCAGTGAGCAGCGAGGCATCAGGATCCCCCGTGCCCATGTGTGGCCCCCTCTGCCCCTCAGCAGGGAGCAGCTAGGTGCCTGGACGGTGTGGACTCGCCGTGGCAGAGTCTCTGTGTCCGCCAGAACGTGGGCATTCACCATTCATGATGGGCACCCACAATGCTGGCCCTCAGGGGCCTCTGACATTAGCTCTTCTCAGGACAGTGGTGTGGAGGGGCAGGTGCTGGGGCTCCTGAGCCAGACCCTCCACCCTGGCCTCTCCCGGGGCCCTCTGGCCAGTTTGAAGCAGACCATAAATACCCAGGACTTGGGTGGGTAACTGGGCTGTATAAATCCTGCCACCAGAGCTTGCTGCCCGATGTGTGCACAGGGTCCAGATATTGCTTCCCTCTTGTCCACCAGGGGAAGGGGTTTGGGGGGGGGGTTGTGGGCGGGAAGGTAAAGAATGTTTTATAATGCACCACCTGTTGCAGTGGTTTCTGCTCTGCTCCTGTGTAGTTTCCACCTCTGGGAATGATGACGTGAGAAAAACTGGAAGGTCTTACACATGTCTGTCCATGAGGCAATTTGAGTCCGTGCCCAGATCCAGGTGTGAGATGTTGAGAGTTGATGGATGGGCGGCAGCTGTGAGAAGGTGGGGTGGGGACCTGGCAGACGACTTCACCCCTAGTGGAGCCTCAAGGACCAGCTTTGACCACAGCCTGCTGGTGGTCCAGCATGTCTGGACGAGAGGGACCTCTGGTACCACTGAGAGTAGGACGGGAGATCGAGGCACTGGCCACCATTTGGAACTGACCATTGGGCAGGTGAGGGGACATCTCCCTTGTGATGCCCACCTTACTCACTCCACTGGACTGAGCTCCCAAGCCAGCTCATAGAAGAGCTGGGCTGATGAGTCCTCCTCACTCCTAGCTGGGACACAGGGGGCATACTGCACGTCTGGGACTGAGTGGTTATGAATGAATGAGCAGGCCAAGGAAGGACACTGTTGGGGACCCCACACCTGACAGTCCTGCCTGGGTGCCTCAGGAAGGGGGAAGCTCTTCCGCCCGCTCACTGGGACCTACCAGCTGAAGTTCTGGCCCACAGCACATAGTGAGCCCCACAAACAGGCACCAGCCTCCAACACTCACTGGCTTCTGTCACTGCGCGCACACACACACTGTGTCCCCACACTGACACGGAGCTCGGGGGCGGGGGGCGGACACCCACACACCCTGGACATGAATCCTGGTCGGTGGACTCAAATGTGAGTGGGGATGGAACAGGATGCATCTGGGGACGCCTGTTAACACCTGGGACAGGCGTCTGTGCGTCCATCCACCACCAGGGGGCACACGACCTACTTACAGTTGTGCTGCTCCGACTTCATCATGTCCAAAGCTGACTAGGTGGTCATTGCCACCTCCCTAGGTACTCGGGGCTGAGCGGAAGTTGTTTTGGGGAGCCTCAGGGTCTAGATCGGAACTTGGGGGTCCTCCCTCTGGTGGAGTGTGGGTGTCTCTGATTTGGATTGTTACTGTCCTGAACACCTGGATCAGGCGCCTTGTTCCTGCCCCCTCCCCACCATCTGTACCCAGCCTCAGGATGGTGTGGGGACTGAGGAAGCTGACCCAGGTCGTCAGGACAGCAACAAGTTCCGGGTCTGGGTGAGGGGACAGAGTGGGCTCTCCACACGATGGCAGCAGCTTCCCCCCACGTCTTTAATGGACTGGTGGTCACTGCTCGCGCACTGGGCAGCATGCAGACTGGCTACAGCTGTCCTTACTACAAACATGACATCTAAGAAACCCACAAAACACACACAGCTTGTAAGAAAAAGGAGAGCAGCTTGGCTAAAGGGTCAGAAAGTGCCCCTGGGGTTGGGCTACTGAACATGGAAGTTTGGTCCTTGGGAACAAGTCGAAAGGAGTCTTAGCCCTCGGGATGGGTCCCTGAGGCCGCGGCAGCTCTGGAGCCCTTGCGTGGGGCTGAGTGGAGCCAGGGAGCGGTGACTTAGCGGGAGGGGGCATTCTCTCCAGTCCTCAGTCTGGCCCGCTGGCCCCTGCACTTTGAAGCAACGGGGTGGGGGTCCACTTTATGCTCAATCCAGCAGTATAAGGGCTGAGCCGGCCCTGCTGTGGCCACGCTCCTCCTCACCCTGGCAGTGGAATCTCCCCCATCCGGGGTGGCAGGACCTGGGACCCCAAAGGGGCGCTCTGGGGAGGGCAGACAGGGTGGAGCACCATCCGGGAAAGGGGACGCTAAGGTGCGGGAGCTGGACGTCTAGGAGAGGGAGGTGATGTTGGAGCGGCCGCCAGGGGGCGCCATGATCTTCTGAGCTGTGCGTCTGGCGATGTGGTCATCGGCCTGAGACCCTGGGAAGAAAAGCGTGTGGATGGAGGGGCGGGGCCTGGGCTGCAGCGCCACAAGGTGGCTTCGCTCTCAGCACCTTCTGCTATGAGTCTGGGTTGCCCTCTAGGGACCCACTTGTCCTGAGCTCTGAAGACCATATTGGGTTTCCAGGGGACCCATCCCTGGTCCGGCGTCCTAGCAAGTGAGCGGAGGCGGGGGGTGGGGAGGCTGGCTCCTGTCTGCCCAAGAATGTCCCTCTACCCTCAGTGGCCACACACCCACATCCGGCCTGACATCCCGGCTGGCCAGCCTACCCATGTGAAGCAGCATCGCCTCTCTGGGCCCCCCTGAATCTTCCCAGATGGTCTCCCCAAGGGGTCGGTGGGGGAGGCCAGGGTGGGGTGTGACTCCACCTCCCCTTCTCCAGAGCATCTCATGCCCATCCCCACCCCCAGGGCCCAAAGTGACCAGCCCTGCTCTCCCATGTGGTTGATTGAGAGCGGGAGTTCCCATTGGTCACTGGGCCCTCACAAGACGGTGCTTCATAGTCCCGTCTTCTCCCGGGGGCCCTGCCTGCTGACGGCCTTCCTTCTGTGGGGTTGAGGTGTGGGCTTGTCACCCTCACGGCTCCCAGAGCTCTCATCCCTCAGGGTGCTCCCAGAGCCCTGCCCCCAAGCCTAGACTCAGCTCACCCGAGAGGCTGAACCCCGACTGGTGTAGGTTGCGTACAGGCGGCACCGAGATCTTGCCGGGGCAGGCGGCACGGGCTGGGGTGCCGCTGGAGGCCTTGGCAGGCACTACGGCCTCGTGGACTGGCCCGTCGTAGAGACCCCGCGGCACACCGTGGATCTCCGCCAGCTGAAGGCAGACGGAGCGGGATGACTCGGACCCTGCTCCTCCTCTGGGCTCAGTAATCCGGGAGAGCTTCCCTCAACAGAGGGCGCTCCGCTCCCCGGACATCTACCACCTCCACAGGTGCACACACCAACCTCCCACACATACACACCTCCCTGTCTACACGCTACTCACACACACACGTGTGTGCAGACATCTCCCTCCCTGGTGGCAGGGTCACCCTGTGGGAGGCACTTCTTTCTGCAAGGGAAATCCTCAGCACCCTCCCACCCTGTATGAGGACCCCCACACCCTGTATGAATGAGGACCTCATGCCCCACATCCTGTAAGAGGACCCCCACACCCTGTATGAATGAGGATCTCACGCCCCACATCCTGTATGAGGAACCCCAGGACCCCCACATCCTATGTGAGGAACCCACATCCTGTATGAGGTACCCCACACCCTGTATGAATGAGGATCTCACGCCCCACATCCTGTATGAGGAACCCCAAGACCCCCACATCCTGTATGAGGACCCCCATGGGCACAGGCCTTACCCGGTTCCGGGCCTTGATCCTCTTATAGACAAAGTCTGGGAATGTCTTGCGGGGAACAAAGCGGCCAGCCCCAGGGGTAACAAACAGGTTCCCATCCTCCAGCACAACCCGGCCTTGACTGATGACCACTGTGGGCGCCCCTCGGCACTCAACACCCTCAAAAATGTTGTACTCCACGTTCTGGGGAGAGAATGGGGGTCTGGGAACTGACAAGCTCCGGAGAGTGAGTAGGCACTGAGGGCCGGCTCCATGGCCGGGCAAGTGGGCAGCTGCTCTCAGCGGCACACACTGTCCTGGAGGCTCACCCCAGCACCCCCTCCAACCCCAGTGTGGGAACAGGTGTTTTTACCAGATTGTGGCTCTTGGCAGAGATGATCTTGGTGGCCTTGGGGTTCCAGATGACCAGGTCGGCGTCAGAACCCACAGCCACTCGGCCCTTCCGGGGGTAAAGATTGAAGATTTTGGCTGCATTTGTACTGGTCACTGCGACAAACTGGTTCTCGTCCATCTTCCCCGAGGCCTACGAAGCAAAAAGGCCACCTGAGAAGGGAGCGGCCCGGAGCCAACTTTCCTGGATAGTGGGCACTTGTCCTGGGATTCCTCTGGTCCTAGTAGGGACAGCACTCTAGCCAGGCTCTGCGTGGCACCTCCCAGTCAGTCCCAGGCCAGCCTACTGTTAGGGACATGCCAAAGTCTTCTCCCAGCCCCTATAAGCATGTGTGGAAACGGGGCCTCTGAAGAAGACATTAGTCAGATTAACGGGAGGGCACCTGAGTAGGTGGCCTTGTCCTACCTGCCCCACATCCTCATAAGAGACACAGAGGAAGGGCAGCCCGTGAAGATGGGGGGACGCTTTGAGTTGTGGTGTTGGAGGAGAATATTGAAAGTGCCATGGGCTGCCAAAAGAACCAACAGATCTGTGTTGGAAGAAGTGCAGCCAGAGTGCTCCTTAGAGGCCAAGATGGCTAGACTTCGTCTCTCATACTTCGGACATATTATCAGGAAGGACCAGTTGCTGGAGAAGGATATCATGTTTGGTAAGGTGGAGGGTCAGAGAAAAAGAGGAAGACCCCCAGAGAGATGGATTGGCAAAGTGGCAGCATTAATGGGCTCAAGCATGGCAACGATAGTGAGGTTGGCTCAGGATTGGGCACTGTTTGGTTCTGGTGTGCATAAGGTTGCTATGAGTCGGTACCGACTGGATGGCACCTAACAACCACCACCACAAGCCAGCACCAGACACTGGAGAGACAGGCAGCCCCAACTCTGCCCGCCCTGTACCCACCACGCAGCGATCCCAGACCACGGCCATGCGCTCCTCCACACCGTTGGTGCCCTCAGGAATTAGCGTGAAGTTGTCCTTGCCAACGGCCTTCTGGGCCGTGCTGAAGGTGCAGTGGGCGCTTCCTGTCACCTGGAGGTCCCCACTGAGGACAGACTAGGGTCAGAGGCAGCCCAAGGAGCTTCACAACCTCTCCCCCCCCCCCCCCCCCCCCCCGAGGTCATTTGAGCAGTCAGGGCTGAGCTGGTGTCCAAATGCCCAGGACGTGGACAGTAGTAAGGTGTGAAGGTGCATGTCCCCACGTGGAAGCCTTGTCAGGGGCCCCAGGTCACCCTCCAAGGCGTTGGGAGGTTTGCACATTAGGGGTGGAGGCCCACAATGGGTCTGCTGGCTGGAAGCGGGGGTGGGGGGGGGGGGGGGGCATGGTTTGAGACAGTCTTACCTTGACAGCAGGGCAGTGAGGTGGTCCGCTGTGGTGGGGTCTGGGCTGATGGGGGGAGAAGTGACGAAGGCCGCAGCTTTTGCCCAGTTCTTGCTCCAATAGTGGGACCCATCGGTGCCCAGGCCAGCAGTGATTGGCTCCCCGAAGACGACTGCCCCTGCAGGAGGCTGTGAGAGCCAGGGGACCCCACCCAGCCCCGGGGACCCCGCACAAGGACAGAGCCATGGACCCCACAGAAGGTGGGCAAACACATAGTCACAGGGACGCCCCAGAGACCCTAGAGGAGGAGGGTGGGCACACCCCAGGGACCCTGCAGGAGGTGAGCAGACACAGCTCTGGGGAAACCCTGGGACCCCACAGGAAACAGGAAGACACAGCTCTGAGCTCTGGCTGGGTTCTAAAGCAGCTAACAGTGAGGGTCAGGCCTGCCTGGGGGCCCAGGAGGGCCACTGTGTGTGTGTGGGCGGGGAGAGGGCTGGGAGACACACCCACCTCCCTGCCATCCTGCAGACGTGGCTGGGGGCCAAGGAGCCTCTGCAGGCTCAGGCGCTGGGAGCTGTTTCTGACTAACGGGATATGCTTCTTTATCCTTCTTGAAGGAAACTTGTCCAAGGGGCAAGCCCCACCCCACCCTCAGGACCCAGCCCAGCCCAGCAACAAGTTATCTTCACAGAAGACACCATGGGAGGGGGCCGGAGCCCAGTCCTAGGTCTTCCTGCCTGCCCTCCCCTCCATCTTGGCCCCTTCCCCTCTACCTCAGTCCTGCTCCCTCGGTCCTGGCCCCGCCCCCTTCAGGCCCCGAAGTCCTCCTGACTTGCTCTCCAGCACCAGGCTCTAGACCCGATTCCGCCTACACCCCAGGTCAGTGTCCTCCCCGCTGGGCAGAGCTCTACTCCCCAGAGATAGACACCCTGTGGTTCCTGCCTTCCAGGAAATGCCGGAGATGAGGTTCCAGGGGGGCCCTGGTGCACAAACTTTGGGCCTGTCTCAGACCCCCACCACACCTGTCAGTGACCTGCTCACATCCCCTCACCAGGGAGCCCAGCAGAACCACAACTCTCTTCCCGACAGCTGGTCTGAAGTCCGATCCCTGCTCCCCAACCCACTCCCTAAGTTCTAAGGTTAGGTGCACCCCGAGGGCCCCCATCTGGGAAGTGGGCCTCATACTCATTTTATCCTCATGCTCTGGGATTGGGTGTCCCCACACAGGCCCCTCCTCCCTGAGCTCCAGAGCTGAGTGCACCACCCCAGCTCTCACTTGAGCTCCCAGGCTGGGAACCCCAGGTCCCCACGTCCAAGATGCGAGTGCACTGCACGCCCACCTCGTCTCTTGGCCTGAGCCACCACGTCGGCTGCTCCCTTGCTCATCACTTTGGTTATGTACAGCGGGCAGTTGGCCTGCTTGGCTATGGTGACTGCCCGGTATGCAGCCTCAGCCTCCACCTAGGGGACAACACCTTACTTGTAGAGAGTGGTCAGGTGTCCCCAGGGCCGCCCAGGTCGTGCTCTTGGCCTTGGTTGACTTCTGACGACATATGCCTGGGGTGCAGCATGTGATTCACAAGCCGGATATGGGGACCTGGAGCCAGGAGGTGGGACGGGTTCTTACCTCCTCGGGGTGGCTGAGTACGTGGCCCTCTGGCCCAGTGATGCCAAGTTCCAACATCCGCCGCTGCTCCTGTACCAAGACCAGGCCCTGCTCCAGCAGCAAGCAGGAGGATGGAACCCTGACCCCAACCCCACCCCACTGACACCATGCTCCACAGCTCGAGGCCTCCCAGTCACAGCTGAGGGCGAGCCCTGGGGAAGGGGTGAGAAGCGGCCCTCCCCTCTCTCATTTATAGATGATGCTAGGATGTGTCCCCAGCATCCAGCTCTGCAGAGGGGCTCCCCAGCACCTCCTCCACAATGTCCCCGTTCTCCGCGTGCACCAAGGCCAGGGCTCCTAGGTCTCGAATGATGCTGAAAATCTCGTACATCTGGGGAGGGCGGAGGACGGTTCTGTGTGAGGGTCAGCTGGATGACTGCTGGACACCTCCCCCTCCCCCAGCCCCACCTCACCTGGCCATCAGTACACTGACACCTGTCCTTGTACATCATGAAGACCAGGAAGGAATTCACACCTGAAGGAAGGGTGTCAGATGGCTCAGCTAGGTGCCCGGGGGTTCTCCCCTGCTCCTCACTGGAGCTGACAGCGCTGCTGCCTCCCAGTCCCTCCTGCTGGCCAATTCCACAGCCACCGCTGTGCCCCTATAGAGCGTGTCTGCCCGTCTCAGCACGGCTAACAGAAGTATAGAGCATGTCTGCCCGTCTCGGCTAACAGAGGTTAGAGCATGTCTGTCTGTCTCAGCACGGCTAAGAGAGGTTAGCACGTGTCTGCCCATCTCAGCACAGCTAACAGAGGTGTACAGCGTGTCTGCCTGTCTCAGTACAGCTAACAGAGGTGTACAGCGTGTATGCCCGTCTCAGCACGGCTAACAGAGGTGGCAGTTATACGGTTGCCCACTGCTACAGGGGCTTGAGGACCCTTGGGAACTGGCTGGGTGTTCCTTCCACCAGGGCGGTCTTCTCAGTGTGGGCACCCAAACAGTGGCCACCTTCATGTTCTTCTGGAAGGAGGACGCAAGGTCTTGGCATTGTAGAAGAGGCCCCCCACAATTTGTCCAGACTCTGCATGATTTGTGGACACTGGCCTGTGGTCAGGCAGTGCAGCGTCTAGCATGACATGTGTCACACGGGTGGACTGTGCCACTCTCTGCAGCTGTCCCTGGACGGTGGGGCCACAGCACTCACCCTTGTCCTTGACCAGGGCTTCCAGCTCCTCCTTGACGCTCTCGTGCCAACGGGCAATGTCCATGTGCAGGGAGTAGTCACAGCAGGCCAAGCTGCCTGCCTGCTCCCGCCACTGGTCGTAGGCTGCCAGCAGGCTCATGCCTACATCCGGGAACACGTGGTCCACTGTGGGGGAGGGACAGTCCAGTCAGCCAGCACTCCTGACCCGCTGGTCACTGGGTGCCACACAGACCAGAAAGCCTGTTGTAGGGGTCAGGAGAGGCCATTGGTTCTGGTACAAGCCCTACTCCATCCTCTCCTCTCCAAGGGGCTTCCCCTCAGCCTCTAAGGCAACTGCAGAGAGGCCCAGAAAGTCTGGTTCAAACCACCTTGTGCCCCTCAGTGGACACATCCCACCCAGGAGCTGGGGTGGAGCAAGCGCCTTTGTCCAACTTCTGATGCAAAGTGGGAAACCTGCAGACTGGAATGGAGCCCGCCTGCTCGGCCCCCACTCACCAGTATGAGCCCACACTGCCACCAACAGTGCCACACATGGGCATCCTGCTGGCAGCAACTCCACCCAAGGTCCAACACACAAACAAGCGGTGCCCCCACTCCAGGGAAGGCCTAGTCCCTCCATTCATGGATCCCGGGCTCTGTAGAAGGTTGGGTTCACTCAGCTACACAGTGAGTCCATGGACAGCTCACTGCCAAGATGACTCAGACAGACTGGGGCTGGGCAGGGGGAGGGAAAAGGACACTGGACAGAGGCCAATTGCAAGCCTACACTGTTTCTCCATCTTGACAGCCACACCTGTTTGCCTGATGCCTTGGTGACATCAATGATGCTGATGTCCTGGTGCCACCTGGCCAATAGGGGTGAGTTTGACCCCAAAACCACAGTCTTCCGCAGTCAGACTCAATGATAGACACAGCTGGTTTTCTTCACCGCGTAGCTGAGTGGACCCGACCTTCACCGTGCAGGTGAGTGGACCCGACCTTCACCGTGCAGGTGAGTGGACCCGACCTTCACTGTGCAGGTGAGTGGACCACACCGTGCTATCAGTGCAGCTAATCATGGCTTGTGGTGTCACCAGAGCCCTAAGCCTGGTTCTCACTAGTGGCAGCAGTGTTGACTGAGCACTTACTGTAGGCCAAGGAGTCATGCTGGTCCAGTGGGTTGTACACTGAGCTGCTTAACCCAAGGTTGCTGGTTCAAACCCACCAGCCACTCCTCAGGAAAAAAACAAGGCTGTCTGCTTCTGTGGGGACTGGCAACCCTGAGGAAGCCTTTCCACTGTGTCCTAGAGGGTCTCTGTGAGGTGGGCTTGCCTCAGCAGCAGGGGGTCGGTTACTACGTGCCGGGCGCCATCCGGAGCAGTCTTGTGCACACTGACTAGTCTAACCTACAAGGAGGATGTTATTCTTCCTGTCACAGCCAGACTGCAGGTTCGGTAACAGACCACTGTCATCAAGCAAGCTACAGGACTTTGTGGTTTCCCGTGCCTGCCAAAGATACGTTTATACCACACTGCTGTGTATTCGGAGTGCACTGCCAGAATGACCAAAGTGTGACAAAGGGGCCCAAAGTGACACATGGGAAGACACAGGGATGAACAAACTTTCAATGTATCCAAGGGTCAGTCAAAAAGTATTGCTACAGGGCTCCCATTCCTACAAGCATGAGTTCATTTCAAAGCAACATGCCTGCACACATCTCTGCAATCAGCAGGAGGCTGCAGACAAGTTTCCTCGGGCATACACACGTCTTAGTCCTGTTAGGGTGCCGTCAATACAAAACCCAGTCAGAACTGTGGTTTCTGAGGGGACCTGCGGGGACAGTAAAATTCAAGCACAGAGGACACTCCAAAGCCGTGGTGACTGTTTTCTTGGGATTCTCAAGGGATAATTTGAATAGATTTTCCTCAAAGGACAGGATGATTGCAGGGGCTTTTTAGGCAGAAATTGTAAAGAAAACTGAAGTCTGCCCTGTGAGTGACAGGCCAGACAAGTTGTGTGGAGGGACTCCCAGCAGGACCGGGCACCTGCTCACTCTTCGAGGGTCGAGGAATTGTTGAGGACCTTACCCCACCCACCCCACAGCCCTGACGTTGCACCTCCAAACTTCTTTTTGTTCCCAAAGCTCAAGATTTAAAAGGAACCAGATTTGAGTCCCTCGAAGTGCCGTTTTGACATGGCGTAAATCGAAGAGTGCAGAATTCTATGGGGAAGGGCTAGAAAGACGGAAACACCGGTATGTGTGTCACCCTGTGATATTTCTGTTTGATAAAGGTTTCTAGGATTTTGTAGAAATACTTTTTTTACTTGTTGTTAAGTGCCGCCGAGTCAGTTCTGACCCACAGCAACCCTGTATAGGGTTTCCGAGGAGCAGCTGGTGAACTTGAACTGCCAACCTTGTGGTTCAAACTGACCTTGCAGTCCGGCCCATGAACCCATAGCACCACACTCCTGGCAAAAAAATCCAGTGTTTGCAGAACACAATGAAACGAGTTGAGCCTGTACGCAAATTGGTCTGCAGATGTTAGCAGGGCTAGCAGAAGCCACCCAGTTAGAAAATGATGGAACCCGGTTTGGATCAGACTCATCACACAAGGCCTTGGACACAGGAGAGAGGTCTACACTGAGTGCTACTGAGCCCGGGGCCCTCAAGGCAGCACGGCAGGGATGGAGCATGGCTCCAGCATCTCAGCCTGCACTAAGTCCACAGGGGCAAGCGGATTCATCGCTCACACGCCAGCGTCTTCTCTAGCTAAACGGCAGCTCTGCTGACCTCCGGGGGTGGTGGTGGTGGGTCTTGAGTGCATGTGGACTACAGCATGTCTGGGAGTGAGTTTGAGCACAGTGGTCGGCACTAAGAAAGTGGTGGCTCTGGGTGTTGGTGTGAGAACAATGAAGACGGTCACCCTGGTTTTAAAAACACAGACGTAACTCTTCTGATATAGGCAGGAACTTCTGAAGCTGTGGGTCAGGCTGTGTTCTGATATTTTAGACAATATAACCCTTCCCTGCCCAAGACATCTGGGTTTTCCAAATTCCAGTCCTTGGCCAGGAAATATCAAGTGGGTCTAACATGCGTGTGTGTCCATAGAAATCCCAGAAGCACTCTCAGAGCTGGTCAGCTAAAGGGTGCCCTAGAATGAGCAAGAGGACTGAACAAAGGCGAGCCAAGAGCTCGGGAAGACCCCACCTGGCAAGAACCACACTATGGGGTAGGGGCTGCTTTCCAGAGAAACGGGGTCCAGAAACTCACATATCATGGTGGTCCCTCCTGCTAATGCAGCCTTGGTGCCCTGAAAGAAGCCGTCAGCTGGGGTCATGCCCATCGTGGGCATCTGCAACCGTGTGTGGACATCGATCCCACCTGGTACGACCAGCAGACCATGGGCATCGATCGTTTTGATGTTCCCAGGGACGATGAGATTTTCCCCGATTTGTCTGAAAGCAACAGGGGAAATTCCAACGGTTATAACGAGCCTTGATCAGAAGGCTAATGAGCTTCAGCAGCACTGTGGGGCTGTGAGCGTGCCGGAGAAGGGGCAGTGCGGCCAGCAGCACACACCTGGTCAGCTCCTCAAGACTACATAGAGGGCACAGAGAACCGTACATGGGGCAAACCCAAGCAGAACAATCAGATGGTACCTGGCTGCCATCACTGACCGTTCTGAGCAGGACCCGATAGCTAGACCCCAATGGAGCAGGAGAGAAATGCAGAACAGAAATCAAATTCTTAGAAAGTCCAGACGTCCTGGGCCAGTGGGACTAGAGAACCCCTAATTCCCGCTGAGATACTCTTTCAACCTTGAACCAAAGGTGGGGCTCCTGAGGTCACCTTTCCATGCAATAACAGACTGGCACCCATGAGTACCTACCTGCTCCATTAAAGAGCAAGGAGAAGACAAGGGGGTAGGGAAACAAGAACACTGGGAACGGAACAACCAGAAGGCAATGGAAGAGAATGTTGTGTAAATGTGACGAACATCACTGACCAAAGTCTGTGTAGAAACTGTCACGTGGGAACTAATTTGCTGTCTACACTTTTACAGAAAACATAGTAAAATCTTATGAAAAGAAAAAGAACCATGGAGGGCCCAACCTGGTACAAATGCTGCGTCCCTGCCTCTGTTTGACAACTTCAAGCACAGAAGTAAATACCAAAACCACACGGACTGTCACCCGTCACCCCCCTGTGGAACAGAGGGCTACTGCTTTGTAAGGTTTTCTTGACGCATTGCCAGGCTTTTTTCCTATGGCAAACCATTTGTGCTGTCCAGGACCTCGGGGAAGGTAACACGTGTGGTCAGTACATGTTACACACATGCTGGGCGCTGTGATAAACACAGAGACATGGGATCCGCGGTCCTGCTTGCTGAACCCTTACAATCTAATTGTTGAGCTGTATCAGGGGCAACCAGGCCAGTGTTTCCAGAAAACGGAGTTTTGGAAGAGATAAACCATATTTGCATGAATTCCACCCCAAAATAAACCACCTGGGTCACACATAATCACTGCATATATGAAGATCTATGCATTGAACTTACTTTATCAAACCATCTTCCACATACAAATCAGCATAAAATGACTGGTCATCGTTCACAATCTTCCCGCCTTTGATCAGAAGACAGTCACTCTATCAGAAACAAAAACAAAAACAAAAAAACAGCTCATGTGTCCCCAAATCAAGCTCCTCAACAGCATCTTGGTGCAACCGCATCCTCTGGAACTGGAATGAAAGGACGTGGCGGCCATTTGTAGACAGAAAAGCCTGCAGCACCCCTGATTCTTCAAGGACCGAGCACAGAGACAGCTGCCCTGGCAAAGTGGCCTCACATGGAGCCCCACCTGGCCCTTAGCCCCCCACCACTGTCCAGGCTGGCTGGCCACACAACACACAGAGGGCCCACCAGGGAAACCAACTTCCCACGTTGTGGAAGCAGAGCTGGGGTTGGTGATGTGCCTTTTTTCTTTATTTAAAGCCCCAGCCTGAAGGAAAGACAACAAAGAGCCCTTTTATGAGGCTCCCCACCTCACACAACACTGAGGCGCCTGGGAGCAGACTTTTGTTCCTGCTGTGGGTGCGTTCTGGTGGGAGGTAGACAGGTTGTGAGAGACAGTGATGAAGGTGGTGACCACTGAGAGATGACAAGACAGAGTGATGAGAGAGGCAGGGCTGTCTGCAGACAATGGAGGTGAGGCAGTCAGGGAGCAGTCAGTGCAAAGGCCCTGAGGCAGGAGAAGCTAGAGTTGGCAAAACAGACAGGAGAAGCTGAGACGCAGAGCTTTCTGAGGAAGGGGAAGGGGGCAGACGCCAGGTCCAGAGCTGGGCAGTGTGGGAACAGGCAGGGCAGGCTGCACTTTCTGGGAAAAGGGGCCCATGTGTTGGCACATGGGCCTTCAGTGGAGTTTAAGCACCATGTGGTTGGTATGTAGAATTGTGTTGAATGGAAATGGGTGATTTCTAGGGTTGTGCAGGAGAGAACTGATGGGCAGGGTGGCTATGGGAGGTGGGTGAGAGATGGCAGGGGTGATGAGCGTGCTGGAGAGTCCGTGGGCGAGAAGGTCAAGGACAAATATCAAGGTGGTGTCCAAGGTCTGGTTCTGTCTGGAGGCTCCCTAGTGGGGTGACAAAGTTTCAGCAGGTATGGATGGTGGTAGCGCAGGCCAAGGGGGACTGATCCTAAGACAGCGGGTGGTGGCAGTGGGGAACCCTATACTGGAACTAAGATAGCCTGGGCGTCAGGGGAGAGTAAGGGGGAGCAGCAGGAAGAGGGGCAGACCAGGGGAGAGTAAGGGGGAGCAGCAGGAAGAGGGGCAGACGAGTAACAGCGCTTCACAGCATGGTCCTGCCGACATTTTAGCTGAGCCTGGACCCGGCCATATGAACTGACAGGAGCAGGATGGACTCTTGGTGTTTCCCCAGAAACCCCTCCTCTTGGCTGTTTTTCATCACCGTCTGAGACCACCAGACGAAACAGTGTCACTAGCCCATGGAGTGACTGCTCAATAAGGGACAATTTTTGAGCTCTATTACATCTTATTCAGGCCTAACTGCGGAATATTTAAGCCTGTGATGATTCGGTGGGAAAAGACCACCACGTGTGGCTAACCCTAGCCCTCGGCTGGTTCCCATGCAGTCCATTTTAAGTCGGCTGAAAAAATATCCAAAGAAAATTTTATGACATGTGAAAACTATGTGAAATTCAAATTCCAATGTCCATAAACACAGTTCTGTTGGAACACAGACACCGTGTATGTTTTTATTAATGGCGACATTCTTGGGAGAATCGAGTAGAGACTATATGGCCACCTAGGCTGAGGGTCTTTTCCGTCTTGTCCTTCAGTCTTGGGACCTTGGTCTATAATACCCATGTTCAGGAGTGCTGGGCTTGGGGAGGGACAGCGGAAACTCACCTCCTGGCCTCTCCAAGGTCCATCTGGGACCAGACCCAGCTCTGACGTGGCCTGGGTCTTGTGGCCACTGGTTGACACTAACCACCTTCCTCCCTCGTGGGTCCCTCCCTCCCAGCCCCCAGCCTCTTCTTGGGGTAGGAAGAGACTTTTGGTTAGGGTCCCTTGTCATCCTCGGTTGTTTTCAGCTCCTGTACTCACAATCTGGGGACCTTCCTGGGTTTGGAACTAAGATGATAATGGGCTCGTAGTGGGGGGCGGGTATGGGGTAAGAGTGAAAGTAGGAAAGCCGGGTCCTCTCCTCACACCAGCAAATTCGCAGTTTGTTTTGGAGTCAGCCCAGGATGGGGGTCGCCCTGCCCCGTGCAGATGCCTGCTGCTTCCTCGGGTGCAGGCCGTGGCCTAGGACCCCACCTGCTTGGGGAACCCGAAAAGCTCCCAGCTCAGGGCGGCTCCAGCCAGGCCCCTGTCCTCCCGTCGAGGCGGGGGCGATTTCGGACCCACTTTAGGTGGTCTCCTGTCCCCCTCGCCCGCCTTCCGCGACCTCGAGCAGAAAATTTGTCTCCTGGCTGCATCGAAGGGTGTTGGGGACCCTCACCCCGGCTTGAGTCTGACTAGCGGGCTCATTCCGCCAGCTCCCTGGAGTCTGCGCGCCCCGGCTCCGCTGAGGGTCACGGGCGGCCGGGCCGGAGCGTTTTGTCTCGGACAAAGAGCCCCAGTGCGCGGCGTGTCCCGGGGGAGAGGCCCGCAGGCTGCGCCGGCCACCGCGTCTCCGCGCCCCAGGCTGCCGTGGGCTAACAAAGGCCGGGCCGCCGCCGGGATAGCGGGACGGAGGCGCGTCAGCTCTACGGGAGCAGCCCTCCTCCAGGGCTCCGCGGGGGTGCCCGGCCTCGGCGGCGCCGCGGGAAGAGTCCGCTCGCGGTTGGGCCACGCGGGGCCGGCGTAGGGCTGGGGACGCGCGTAGCGGAAGGGTCCGGAGGACAGGACGCGCGAGGGGTGCTCACCGTGATGCGGGGGGCGCTCTTCTTGCCTTGGAAGGCCATTCTGCTGCTCCGGCGGCTACTCTGCTCGGGCCGCGGCCTGGCTCGGCGGGAACAGACTGGCGTCCCCGAGGGGGCGGCGGCGCGCAGAGCGAGAGCGTGCGCGCGGGGCGCTGGAGGCCGAGTGCGCGCGCCAGGCAGCCCCGCCTCTGGCCCCGCCCCGTCCCAACGCCCCTCCTCTGGGTGAGCACCAGGGTGGGCCGCAGTCTCGCCTGCTGTACCCAGACCAACGTACAAGGGAGCCACACGCGCGGCCCAGGCCCAGATCTCTGCACGGTCGGACGTGGTCTGGGTATTAGGTCGAGGTGCGTGACCTGTCCGGTTACTGGTGCAGATCCTGTGCCAGGGGAGGGTGAGGGAGCGCTCCAACAACTTCCCAGGTGACGCGATCAGTCGGACCCCGGAACTCCAGAAACCCGGCCGACCGGGAAGGAGGCTGGATGGCAGATCCGGGCCAGGTGGGCTGCAGGGTGCCTCCGCCTCCCCGGCCACGGCGGGAAGTCAGGGGCCGGAGAGAAGGGAAGCGTTGAGAGACACAGAGAGACAGAGATAGACACAGAACGTAGAGAGACACCCCGAGACGAAGTCCAACAGAGGAACCCAAGTCTAGAAGGACGCAGACGGCAACAAGGGGCTGAAGGATGCGGGGCGCTAGGGGTCCGAGGCAGGACGTGTCGGATCAGGGAGGAGACCCGGTTGGGGAGTCGGGAGAGAGGACGGCGTTCCACGCCCTCAGGACTCGGCGCCGCCTCCAGGACGTCTCCGCCGGTCCCTCCGAGTTGCTTCTGGGCTCACCGACGTGGAGAGGGAACGTCCTGGAGGCCGCTGTCCAGACATCCAACTTCTGAAAACGGCTTTGAGTTCGGGCCGCACGGGGGCCATCTGGGCTCAGTGCCCCAAGATCAGCAGATAGAGGTTCTTCGGGCTCCTGGGTGGCCATGAGGGTGCGGGGGATCCCAGAACCACCTGGCTCCGTGTCTGCTCGCCGAGCTCCTTGGTCCTTCTTCCCGCCCTGCGCGGGGCTGGTGCTGTCCACGCCGCGGGTGCTGAACTCGAGGAGCTGACTGGGAAGGCGCCCTTTGCTGGGAGCTGCCCCCAAGTCGGCTCTGATCTCGGTGGAACACACTGGAGAAACCAGTCTAGAAAACTCAGCCACACCCCCCTGACTCACAAACGTTTGGCAAGTGGGGAATGGGTGAGTGTGCATCCAGAATTGGAAGTAGAGGGTTTCTGGGCTGTCCAGGTGTCGGACGCACTCACTGTGCAGCCGCTGTTATTTGAAGGAAAAGACACCTTAGCCTGTGGTTCTGAGGGCCCAAGACAGCATTCTTCCTGTATGATGCAGGACTCCATCCTGCTCCCCCAAGTGATGGCCAAAGCACAGTGTTACTCACCTTTGTTGGGCTTTTCTGGGTTCCTGAATTTCTTTTCTCCCGTTGACAGACAGCTACAGGAGAAGGCCTCACCTGTGGTTCCAGGCCAAGTTCTCTGGGATGTGGATGTTTCAGGATGAGACTACATGGCAGTGGTACCTCTCTCAGGGGGCAGACACCCCCCCTCCGGGTCCCTTTCTAGTGTGGAAAGAGGCATGCTTGTCCAGAGAGTAAACACCTGAGCTGAGAAAGTGGCTATAGAGCCCATACATCCCAACATTAGAGAACCAAGGAGAAGAAAACACTCATGTTCTGAGATTCAAAATGATTTTTTTAATTAAAACTGTACAGTAATTTACAAATGAATAAAAATTCTCTGGTATATATCATAGGAATCACAATACAAAAATATGTGTAAAATTCTGTAGTTGATCACCATACAAACCTGTTCTAGGCATGGGAATACGGTAACGCAGTGAACAGAGTCAATGGTTAGAGTGTGGTTATTAAGGACTGCTTCCGAGAACACAGACACTGCCTCGTACAGTGCTGTCAGAAAACGAACCCTGGAGCATGTTTGCATAAACTTACAATAGAGCTTTTTTTTTTTCTTTCTTAAAAATATACAGTACACAAATAAATGATTTAATACATATATTCACAATTATGATTTTCCTGAGCCTAAACTTGAATCCATTACTGTGTTGAAACATACAGCCCAGCGGGAAGTCTGCGTGATGCCCAAAGTTGATGGATGCAGGAAGCCCTCCTCAGATGGTGAGTGCGGATGGTCACCACCCTGTAAGGCACTCGGGTAGCCCGAAGGCGCCGGCTTTGAGCAGGCCAGATAACCTCCAGTGCCCTCTGTGGTCCTTCAGTAGGCCCCCAGCATGCCAGCGGCTTTTCTGTGCAAACACGTTGTGCCCATCGTGTGGCTCAGACGAGAATCATGTACCTGTTTCTCAGCAAACATTCCTGCCACCTTGTCAGAGTTCCTTGTCCTGCTCCACCAGGACGCGATGCTCTTAAACACAGATCCCCCCACCTGCAGCCTATATACTTTCAGGAAAGCCACGGCTGTGAATGGCAGTATGCCCCAGATTGAGAGAATGCACCTCACCTGGAAACATTTGCTTCTTCAGCTGTTTGCTGGACTAGTGGAGACAGGGACAAGGGTTCTGGCTGTGGCCTCCCTTCTTTTGGAAAGAGCCCAGCTTTGTCATCAGATGAAAAGGAGGTGCATACTTCCCATGGATAAAACTGACATCTAAAGAGGAGGACTGATGCGGCATCCGGCAAGATGACAGATGTGGATCCAGGTGTCTCACAGGGTGTGGCTAAAGTGCTCACAGAGCCGCTGTCTCTCTCCTGTGTGAATCCGCGTTCCCAGATAAACAACAGCAGCTTCACAGCACCGTAAGTATTTACATATGTCTCTTCCCTAAGAAGGGGGTCTTCTTTTTAAGATAATGACAAAAAGCTATGGTTAAGAGTGTCTTGATGGCGTATGAAGAACTGCAGATATCTACACCATATGCCAAGTCACGATGATCCAAACAAACAAGGGTGGCATCTGGGATCGCTTCAGCGCACCTTTAGGTTAGGAAGTAACACACGCACTTGCTGTCCCCATGCATGCGCACGCTGGGCCAGTGCAGGGAGCAGCGTGGAGTTAAGGCACGCTCCTGGGTGCTGGCAGAGAGCAGTCCACCCACAGCTCCGAGGTGGCTTTTATTAACAAAAGACTATTGCTTGCCATTCCGTTCTGAATACTGCAAATGTGTCAAGAGGAGGCAGTCGTGAAACAAGACAGAACTGTGTGTGGAGAAAACAAGGTTTCGGACTTGAGGCGTGAGCCTGCCATCGGGCTCAGCTGGGGGAGCACTGGCCTGGCCCAGGCTCTTGTCCACGTAGGCAAACGGCTGTGCCTTTTGACACTAACAGGAAGGGAAGAGCCTACTGATGGTACACTTCCCAGCAGGGACCCTGCATCCACCAGAGATGAGGGGATGTCTGATCCCAGGAATGTCCCCTGACTTCACCCAGGAACCACTCAGCTCAGCAGCTGCTGTGTCCACCACACCAGAGTGGAACGTTTCCTCCTGACCCAACACACACACACACACACACACGCACACGAACCTGATACTCCCTACAACACCACCGTCCCTGCCCTGCACCCTCTATGAAACACAGTTGTTTTTTCTGAGCAGTGTGGTCCATTACACCCACAGTAACTTCCGGGTCCCCAACAGAGCTGAGACCCTGTGCACTGTACACACACACCCTTGTCAATTCTGGCCCCAGAGTGTGAGCACAGCAGGGCCGGCTCCGTGGTTGAGTCAGGCTCCACGCCAGGACTGAAGCTGGCCTCACGGAGATACTGTCTTCTCTCTGAAAAAGAGCAGAGACAACGGGGATGTCAGTGAAGTGTGGGGTTGGCAGGCCTCCTGGGGAGGCTTCATGTGGACTGAAGGTGGACATGGCTGTCTCCTCTGTGGATCTAATGCCAACTGAAGCCTCAGTCTGAGCACCTACCACTCCTCCCCAGGGCTCATGAGTCACCGAGACTGGTGTATGGTGCCACCTTTGTGGAGAAGCCGCCAGCCTCGCTCAGTACCTAGGAAGTGGGCATCTCTGCCAGACATGGACTTTCCCTTACTGCCTCTTACGTTTGGAATGCTTTTTAGCAAACTCTGCACTTGTGGCTAAGACTTCCTTTACAAGGCATGTAGGCCACCGAGGAGGCTAGAGTCAGCTTCATTTGGCAAGAGACCATTACTTCCAATAGAATACACAATAAACTCAGAATCACACAGATGCTAATTTCTCTACATAATTACACAAAGCAGTAAAAATTCTTACTGCCATGAAGACACCACCTCCTGGCAGTCAAGACTGCAACCTCAGTCACTAACTTGTCTTTCTCAAAGTACAAACCTTGACCCAGCTGAACGCAATATATCTCCGGAGACCTCGTACGCCCAAGCCAAACATCTGGCCATAGATCCTGGCTTAAACAGGAGTATCAGCTACACTTCAATGACCCCAACGCCAAGCATGACCTGAAGATCCTGCCTTGACTCGGACCTATGCAAGATCACCCAACACCCATCCCAACTGCAGGGCCCACTCCCAAGACTTCATGCTTAGGAGATGTGTTTGTCATTGGGCCCCTTTTCTTCTGATATGTCCTTAAAACTGACAAGGGTAGGAAAGAAAAACTTATCTAGGAAAGGAAATTGGATTGAACATTTAACATCTCATATCAAGTCTGGCAATAATGACTGTATGCATTTTTGCTGAAATAAATCTTCGATTACTCATTAAAGGAAAACACCACCCCAGCACACCCTGTGCTGGTTTACCTTCAGCTGCATTGAATTTCACAGAATCACCTGCTTCTGAAAGGTTGGAGGTGAAGGGGGCCCTCTATTCCACACCCCCTCACACGTTGCATATGTAACTGTTGATGCTGCAGAAAAAAACAGGATTCCCCAGGAACACACTTCTGGAGGGTGACTAGAGCCAGGTGCCACCTACTTACCAGCCCCTCCCCATGTCACTGTCTTCTGAGTTATGAGACCAGAGACCTGGGGTATGAACCACACACATGCGCAGACAGAACCA